CACCCCTCCTAGGACCTGGGAGACCTGCTGAGCCGCCCCGCCCAGAGCGCTCTGGGAAGGGCCGGGCCTGTCCAGGTGGGGCTGGCTGATCGCTCGCTCCCCCAACTCAGGGGTTGCCTCTGAGATCTGCAGTGGAACCAAGAGAACAAGGGGCCCAGGCTCCAGACAGGCGAGTTACGGAGCCTTGCTGCTCGTAGGGCCCACCAACCACCACCCCGTGAGTGTCATGTGTCTGTGTGTATATCTCCTGTCTCTGCTTGTGTGTACAATTATCTATCTGACTGTATTTCTGCAGTAATAGTATTCAAATTAGTAACAGCATCTTTTATATAGCGCTTTGTGCCAGGCACTGTGATAACTGTTTTCATGAATTAGTTTATTTCATCCACAAAATAATTCTGTGAGGGAGGTACTTATACCATCCCCATTTTACAGATGGAAAAATTGAGGTTTCATGAAGTCAACTGATTAGCTCAAAGCCAAATAGCATTAAGCTACAGAGCCAGTACTCAAACCCAGACTGACTCCAGTACTCACTGCTCCAGGCTACCCACCCCTCCACTTTATCTATGCCTCTGCATGACCTTGAAGGAGGGCATGTAATTGGGCATTTGTAATCGTGTGCTTGAATGTGGCTATGTAGCTGTGTCTCTGTGACCCTGAACCTATGGGTTCCTCTCCGTATAATCATCTGCATGTGACTGCATGTCTGTATCCATTTAATTGAGTCTGTTTATATAGATCTGGATGTGTACTTTTGTGTATCTGCCTATATAATTGTGACCGTCTCTCTCAAGGTGGCTGAATATCATTGACTTTTTTTTTAATATCACTGATTTTTGTGTATTTGAATTGTAACAGCCTGCCTGTTACATGTAAGCATGCATGTAAGTGAAAATGTCTCTCTATAAGACTGTGTAATTGCATGTGCTTTTGTGTATCAGTATGACTGTGCAGTTGTTTGTTGTTGATATGCCCATATCTACATTGGTGGGGGGGTCTATGTGTAAGTAATGCAGCATATAGGTAAACATACGTGGAACCACCCATGTCTACGTGCATCTGTGGAGTTCTCTGTCCCTCTCTCATCTCTCCTTGTACAAGTCTTTGTTTTTCAAAGCAGGCTAAGTTTCACCCCTTCTGAAAGCCTTCCAGGCTGCCCAAGGCCCCCACCCTTATGTCCTCACAAGTGTCTTGTATCCAGGGACCTGCCCAGGGCCCCTCATACTGGGCAATGACTTATCTTTACCATCACTACCCTGTCTCTCCAACCAGAGGCAGCATGGTGGAGAGAGAGAGAGCATGCTGGGCTGGGAGTCCACAGCCTTCAGTTCTAATCCCCTTATGGTCATCTTTTCTGCCACCTAGGCAAGCCCCTCCACTATACCACACTGCCTCTTATGCCCAGAGGCTCCAAGACATCCTGCTCCCTCCCTGCAAAATAGGAGAGTTGAAGTCACACCCTCCCTGAGGCCCATCTCTTGCTAAGAGACCGAGGTTGAGAACAGTGCAGTCCCTGAGGAGCTGGTATTTTATTCATATACCCAGGAAATACTTATTGAGCATACACTGTATACCACACTGTGTGCACCAGGCTCCCTGCTTTGCACAGAGAAGAGGGTCTTAGTGTCATAGTTTGATGAGACCTCAGAGATCTGCTAGCCAATTCCCTTAATTTACAGACAGGGAAACTGAGGCCCATAAAGGGGAAAGATGGTATAGGGAAGCAGAGAGACATGCAAGGGTAAAGTCCAAATCCTTTGGCATGAACTGAGTGAGGACAGGCATACAAAGAGCTTAGAAGGATGTCTGGAGGGTAGCAGGAGGCCCTGCAGGAGTCCCCCACCCACCAGTTCAGCCTCATCTCAGACCACAGCCCTCTCATTCTCAGAGCAGCAGCCACACAGAACTGCATGCCACTCCCCAGTGTACACCTCGGGGCCTTCACACATGCTCCTTCCTCTTCCACCTTTGCCTGTCCTCAAGGCCCTGCTCAGCAGTGTCCTCCTCCATAGTGTCTTCCTTGCCCCTGGTCCAGTTCAGTTCTCAGCGCTCCCAGGCATTAGTGCTGTCCTCAGATACAGTACTGATCACACCTCAGGGCTCCCCAGCACCCTGTGTAACACATCCCAGCACTTATCTCAAGACAGGGGTTTGTTTTGGTGTCTCCCTTTCCAACCAGAAAACAAGTTCCCCAAGGGCAGTGATCTTCTCACTCCCCTTAGTAACCCCAGGCTCAGCACAGTACCTGGCACATAGTAGGTATTAAACAGAAACTGGCAGAAGTGATGATGATGGCACTTAAGTACTGATGGAGGTGAACAGGCACAGGGAGGAGAGTCCAAGGCACTCTCCCAGTCTTTCATTCCTTCACTACAAGGGCTGTGCTTGCTCCAGGATCCAGGAGGAAGCCTACTGCCAAGAGCATGGGAGAGCCTGGGATAGGACTGGCGGGAAGAAGTAGGCGGTACTGAAGACATACAGACCAGAACTCCTGGAACCAAAAGGCAGGGCTTGAGTGTCTCCTGACTCTCCTGGAGACCAGTAAAGGCCTCGCTTGGCTAGGGGCTTGGAGGAGAGGGTGTCCTTAAGCAGACAGGAGGCTCTACTTGGACTAGATCCCACCAGCAGCCCCCGGGCAGCATGCACTTTGCCAGAAGATTTGGGGCTTAACCTCCTGGGAGGCTGAGCTATCGCCCCTCCATGCCCCCACAGAGCACTCTGTGAATGCAGCTGGCAGCCTTTGATGAACCAGCCCCCAGGACAGTGGAACACAAAAGCACAGAGTCCAGGGAGTATGGTAACGGGGGAGCTGGACAAGGAGTTCATCCCTCCTGCCCAAGGAAGCTACTTCCACCAACTTCCTTACCCGAGTCAGCCGCAGGGTTGGAGGTGGCCATGGGGTCTGCAGACGGGAGGTGGAGGTGTGTATACCTGCTCTCCCCACCCCGCCACACTCACTGCGGCCTGAACAATATACAATGCCTCCTCTCATGCGTTTTCTTCAGCATGTGACAGGCCAGGAGCAGTTGAGACAGCTTTGAAGGTTTGGGGAGAAGGGAATTTCCCAGGGGCAGGTGGGCGATGGGAGGTTCTCCCCCTGCCCTCTGCAGACCAGAGTACAGATTTGCCGGCCACAAGGTATAGCTGACCCAGTGCAGCAGACCCTGCTGGCAGCCCTGCTTCAGGAGCAGGAGAGGGAGAGAGTAGGGCGGGGGGATGACCCCCCAGCCTGAGGGGGGTTTCCAAGAGAACCTGGGCCATGTGCCATGGGTGGGGATTTGGGCCTCCATGGAGGGGGAGAGGGAGAGGCTGTTGGAACAGGTTCCTGAAGGTGACGGAAGTAAGGGAGGGGATGGATGAGGCCTTCTTGGCTTCCTGCTCCTCTCATCCCTCCCCTGGTAGAGGCACCTCTCTGGGAAAGGATTTTCCATTTGAAGTTAGAACAAAGGAGTGGGGAAGCTGAGGTCAGCCTGGCAGGGGTGGGCTGCTGTTCTGCCTCTAACACCGTGTGGCCTTGAGCAAGCCACTTCCTCCTCGGGAACTCAGTGGCCCATGTGTATGTGCCATGAGGGCCCCCTGTGACATCTCAGGCCATCCATTCTGAGTGCCCACGATCTGGAGATGTCCATGCTCTGGGGGCCCATATCAGATCACCCACCTACCACCCAAAGCCAATTAAGGCCAGGCCCTGTGCTGGGCAGTGCAGAGGGAAAAGTCTGTCAACATGGCTCCTGCCCTCAGGGTGTTTGGAACAGTGAAGTATGGCAATTCCTGTGCCCCAAAGAACCCAACAGCCAGCAGGTCCCAGCCCCCAGCAGGAGCCTTGCCTAACTCCAGCTCTGCAAATCCCTCCACCCCAGCTTCCCCTCATCCTTCCATCTTAGCTCAGGTATCACCTCATGGGGAAGCTGTCTCTGACCCCACCTGGGGTTACTCTGTTCCCTCCTTAGTCACACTTCTTGACCCTTAATTACTTGTTCAGTGTCTGCCACCCTGCCTCAAATTGTGAGGTTCATGAGGACTGGGACCGTGTCTTTCATTTACCCTCAGGACAGGGTCTGGAACATAGTAGGTACTTATTACTAATAGTAAATACTTAATAAGTATTTGTGCAATAAATTAGTGAGACCCCTTCCTCTCCCATTTGGACCCAAGGCAGACAATGCTCATCCCTTCAGAGGGGCCTGGAGGAGGTGGACCCAGACTCCTCTGTGGAAGCCACTCCCCCATTGGATGTGTCCCACAGCAGAGGGAGCCCTGCCCACATCATATCAGTCCAGGCCCCAGGCTAAGGACACTGAGATAGCCCTATCCAAGAAGGTAGCCAGGAAAGCATATCCTGTCCAACTCCAAGTCTCTTCCGCACCCTGCTCTAGGGCCTGAGGGCAATAATTTCCCCAGGGGTATCACAGAGATTATGACACTGGACCAGGCCTTGAGGAGTTCCCTGGATAGAAAAGTGAAGGGAAGCACATCCTAAGTGGGGGACAGCACATGCAATGGCACAGAATGTGGAAATACATGGAGTGTTTACTGGAAGGCAAACAGATGCCACCCTGACCTCAGAGAGGCCAAGTGCCCACTAACCAAAGTGCTTTTGTGTCCTCACTTTACCTTAGAGCTACACAGGCCCCTTCCTCAGCAGGGAGAGATGGCATTATTCACACTGCATTCTCCTCACCCACCTTCCTGTGATGTCCGGGCCACTGGGTCCCAATGTTGTATCCAACTGACTGGCCAGAGGTGGGCTCTCCTTTCCTAAACATAGCTCCCACCCCCAGGCCCCCAGCCCCTACCAGCTTGCTCCTCCAGCCCATTCTCAAACTCAAAGAATTCTAAAATGAGAAGAGGCCATCAATGGTCAGAGGCCATTAAAGCCTGTCTTTTTGTTAAGACAGTGTCTTGCCAAGAGTGGGGCAGGAGCACTCGGCAGAGCAGAATTCAAACTCAGGAGTCTCTCCACAACCCCAC